GAGAAGGTAGAAATGACTCAGCCTGGAACTGAAAATATGGATGGAGGACAACAGAGCTGCTTCATGGAAGAAGAACCTCAACTTAGCCTGTTAGCCTGTTAGCTTTCACTTGCTTTGTGTGTAAATGAAATAGCTCAGTCCGTGTAATATTTTGTTAAAAATTGAGTTAATAAATTATAAAAACTAAACATCCTACAGTATTTTTACAGTCAAAATATATTTTTATCAAATAAAGTCTAATGTTACAACTAATCGTAGATCCCTTTAAAAAGTATTCAGCCTTTGAACTTTTCCACATTTCATCATGTCACCACCACAAGTTTCAAAGTGTTTTATTGGAATTCTGTTAAAGAACAACACCAACAACACAAAGCATAAGAGACTGACATTTTTGCCCATTCTTTGAATTTGACTGGACTGTTTTTCTAAGACATAAATGTTTTGATGTAACCCAGTCCAATGCGTTCTCACTCTCTAGTCATCATATAGATGCTTGGTCGTGCTCTTTCTGTGTTTCTTGTTGACATGTTGGTAACCACCTCTCGTCATTGACAACATGAGAATGATGAAGAGTCTGCTCTCATGTTTTTGAAAAATGTATAAAATGTGCTACAACTAAGCCTAATTATGATACTCAACAATAAACTTAACCTCTATCAACCTCTGACCTTACTACCTAACCCTGTGCCCTAAACTGAAACACTGACCCTAAACCTAAGAACTAATCCAACATATCATTTAATAATGAGAGGGGCGGGGTACCAGACAAGTCAATAAGTGACACAGAAGGAGCCTGACCAGCGTCAGTAAGGAGTATGTCCAGCAGGGACCAAGAACTGGCTGGATGTTTAGAATTATCCTCCTAGAAGGTGAACCTTTACAGACTAACCGTATTTATTCAAGTAGAATACGAAAATTTTAATCCATAAAATCATCCATAAAGTTGGGGGGTAGTATTATACTCAGATAAATATTTTAACTTATGTATTTTAACTGAAATATTCGCAAAATTATTGAGTCCGGAAATGAGACTGTGTCGTAAAAATCAGATGAAATGAGCTCACCTGTGACACTCCTCTGTGCTTCAGAGTGAGATAATAACAAATCCAGGCAGGAGACATGATGTGAAAAAAAAGGGTAAAAAGTATTCCTGCACCTTAGTAATGAAAACAAACTAATGACATTAGTGTGTGACCGAGCTGCTCCTAGAACAACAACAAACACATGTTCGTCTGTAATGGCTGCCGTCTACCAGTGTTCTGAAAAAGTTTATATCCCTGAAAAAACGTTTCCCCACCAGAGGGGGCGCTCACGAGTAGGAAGTAATCTGCTTTTCCCCCACAAGATG